TCTGTGTACTAAATGGGGTGGATAACAGTGTGCTTTTTAAAAATTCCAGCTAGAAAGCATGGCAGAGTACTAGCTACTGGTTAGTGCTGCCTAGAGTTTTAACATTTGGTGGAAATTTTTATTTGCTCACTGGAAACCTCTCTCTCTCTCTCTCTCTCTCTCTCTCTCTGTGTGTGTGTGTGTGTGTGTGTGTGCATGTCTGTATTCGTGTGTGTGTCTTTCGCTCCCGCTCCCCCACCCCATTCTTCTCCCCCTACTTTCTTTCATCCCATTATCTCCTCCTAACTTGCACAGTAATTGAGACAAATTCTAGAGCTCAGTCAGCTCTCTTTAATTGTCATTTCTAGCGTGATCACTCCAGATGTTGAGAGTGATTTCCTAGAATCAGGCTCTGTTCTTTCAGGAGCCTCTGCCTACATATGTTTCATTCCTCCTGCTTAAAGTGTCTTCTCTACCTTGCTTGCATAGCCAACACTTACATAATTGGTTTTCTATGTAACTCTATTATATGAATTTTTATGTATGAAAACGTTCATGAGGGTACAACCAAGCATAGGTTTAACTATTTGTTAAATCTAGTTAAAGTGTTAGCTAAAAGAATACAATCAATTTTAGCTCCAGCAATAAGTAATTTTAATATAGCTGTATTTTTTGAAATATCTCCTGATTGTTCCTCTGAACTTCAAATGTAATTAGTTATAGTGTGTTTGGTCCTGAAGCTTTAGCTCCTGTTCACCTTCTGCCGAGAATTAAGAATGCACTACGGGCACTGCCCCTCCTGCACATTAAACTGCGATCAAGCAGACATGGGTACAGAAGATTACCACTTCCTTCAGAGGCCAACAGGAAGTTCAGAGGTTAATGCAAGACGCGGACGGATGCAGATGCGTTAGTGAGTTAGGCTGTGGTCCGCAGAGCCCTTTGCCCAAACCAGGATCCTTACCAGAGCAGCTCAGTGGGTTCCAGTGCCACAGAACATCAGAGTTACCAGAAGATTCTTGGAGTCACTCAACTTGGGGTCCTTTTCTGTCTCACGCAGGACTTACAGGACTTTGGACAAACTGCCTAATCCTTCTAAACTTGTTTTCACTGTATAAGATGGAGACAATAATGGCCGCTTCAGACAGCTTTGTTTATTTCTTTTATCTAATCTATCAGGTAACCAGAGTATTTTTAGTAATTGCAGTAATCTCAATGTGTCTTGCATGATTAAGTGTCATTTCTTTCCTGGGACAATCTAAGTGAACAGGATGGGAAGGGATGGGGTGGTATTATATGAAGTAGAATATAAGGGAAGAGATGACAGAAACAAAAAAAGAAGGATGAAGAAGAGGAGAGGAAAATCTATAGACAACCTGAAGAAATGTAATTATTCTTATTTTTTCAGACACTCGACCCAAGTCAAAGAGAAATTGGGGAATATTTCAATGTTCACAGGAGCTAAAGCATACTTCTTTCATTTGCATACTTCCCAAGCAAGTGAGAGATGTGTTCTAGAAAAGGGTCCTCTGCTTCATTTTACCAGCTTGGGTAAAACCCTCCTTCGTTTTCTGCTTATCTAAGTCAAGTTCATTGGCTTATTTATGCCTGTGGATGACAAGGCCCAGCTGATTAGCTGCTATTAGTCTGGCATGCACGAGAGGCTCCTTACAGCTTTTCAGACATTTCATCATTGTTGTTTAATGTACTATGGAGACAGGCCAGAATATATGATGTCCTGATTTTACAGATAAAGCAGACGAAGCTAAGAATGGTGCCAGTCGTTTTCATATAGATATTGGCTGACAGACCTACTTGAGGAACCCAGGTTAGGTTTCTCTTCTCAGAAATACTCACAACTTCATTTAGTCAGTACATATTTATTAGTTGCCTTCTATGGGCACACACAGTGCTAAGAGTCTGACATTTACGACAATGCCATTTTCTTACTGACCCAACCAGTGAAAGCAGTTCACTTAGAGTTTGCCTGTTCCATCTCATTCATTTCTCAAGAAACCAGAAGAATTCTGTCAGAAATTGCACTGTCTGCAGTGCTTGCTTGCCTGTTGTGGATTAGAAAAACATGCTCTTCTGGGATGTTCTCACATATTTTTTTTCCCCATCGAAAGCAGCCACATGCCAGAATCCATGGCACAGTTCACAGAGATCACTGGAATGCCTTTTTCCCCAGGGACCCACAACAGCAGCACGGTGTTCCATTGTAAGCAGTGTATCAGATGGCAAGAGAGGCTTCCTGATGGGAGCGGCTGTCTGCAGATCAACCTGTCTGGTCTTTGAGAGAAATAGATTGAAATACCGTGACAGTATGTATTTATTTTATCAACTATTTCATTTGTAGATAGATAATAATTAGAAAAGGCAGAAGATAGATAGATAGATAGATAGATAGATAGATAGATAGATAGATAGA